TTGTTAGCTGCTAGCTAATTGCAATCAGGTAGGAACATCAAGTTCCATGAGCTGAAAGGAACATTGAAGGAGAGCTTGTGTGTTGAAAGCAATCTCATAGCAACAAGCTATGCTGAAGGTTTCAAACAACTTACAGTGGTTTCAGAGTAGATGGCACGATCCCTGCTGTGAGTGGTTTAGATGGACCCCCAATGACCCCCATTTGTCTAAGACATTTTTGGGTTGTTTGTGCATCAAACCTTTCACATCACTATATTATATTTGATTGAGATGATTGATTGAGATGTTTCAGAGTAGATGTTTTAGAGTAGATTTGATTGAAATGAGATGTTTCAAACCACATATATATACAGATATGATTGAGATGTTTCACATCTTTCCACAGCCTGGTGTGAGCTGTAACGACCGCAAGGACCTCGAGGGTGCTGTGAGGAAGTGCACCACCGAGGCGGGGGGGTGGCCTGATCAAACAGCAGCTGGTGGCTGATCAGAGAATCTTCATCCAGATGGCGGCAGAATTCACCATTGCCCAATAGGTTTTGAACTGCACTACTCCTTTGCAAATCTAATGAGCTGTGTCCACACTACACATTTACAAGATATTCACTGAGGTCCCTGACCCTGAATATCCTTTCAGCCTTTCAGCTTTTCCAAATTTAATGGGTTTGTTTCTCTTTCTCTCCCTGTTCTGCAAAAGATGCACCTATTGTCCAACCTCAGACGTCTCATTCAAACATGACGTTTCAGCTGTATGTCGCCAATGACCTTTCGCTCCTCACCGTCCGCGCCGGCTCGACTGGCAGGCCACCGGTGACCTGGAAGCAGATCTGCAGGATGGGCCGGGGAACCATGTCGCTAAGTGAGTTTCTCGGGTGAACATGAGCTACGGCCATGACCAGTGGCTTGAGGCTAATGGATGTTGCAGACTTTTTTTCTGGTGGTATTTCAAGGTTAAGTTAACATCATGTATATAAAAACACATTTGGTGAGTTGGTAAGGCTATAGAAATGGTTGGTCACCGCTGGATTATTGATGCACTTATTGATGCCTATTGTCCAAATGACCTGCAAGATGTTGATGGTTTGTAAAAGGGGAGTTGTCGACTAGGGTCCGGGTTGCCGAAAGTGGAGACATGTATGCGGAAAGCTGGCTGCTCATGGGTCAAATACAACTTCAAGTTTTTGCTCCAATATTGTCATCACACTGACAGGCCAGGTTTCCCTCTTGAGTTTTCATGCTTCCCAACTAACATTTGTGAAACACATTCCTCTGTGGTGAAGGAAGTGTTGTCAGGTTCGGGACTATGTCGGTGCAATGCGAGATTGAAGCACAAGTCACAGACGTAGTTTATCCGACTAGTTGGACTTTACTGCAGATCAACTTACAGGAATTCTGAGGTACGTTGAACAGCCATGAGAAACTCTTTCGGGACTCTTCTTGTGTTTCCGTGAATGGATATACCGTCAAAAGCGCATAGGCTTAGGTGGGTGATGTGCCTCCGTGAGTCTTTTTGAAGAACTGTCCCTCAGGGAGGCGGCCAGAGACCTGGAGATGTTAGCATTGGACGCGGCCAGAGACCCGTGGGACATGGCGACATGTCGTCGTGCCAGAGTTGTGTGAAGCCTCGGTGCTGGCGATATTGTAGACCCACCCTTTTGGGTAGGGAGTCTTTGCACTGAAACTGAAACGAGTCCTTGCAACACTCATGTGGCAGGTCCACCGACAAAAGGACTTTTCTCGAGCTTCTCTTGGCTTGGGATTGGTCCAGAGCTCAGAGTTTTCTTACACAGGATGGAGTGACCCGGTAGACCTGAGACAATGGTGATGGGTTTCTATCATGGACCATTGCCTTTCTCATTGTCATGAAGAGACCCTTCATACTTGCATCATCTTGCATCCATTGGTTCTTCCATGCAGGATGATGTAGCCGGATGTTCCTGTTGCAACAGGCAACTGACATTTCAATTCTTACACACCTCTGAAAGAGAACACCAAAGACCAAATATTACCAAATATGCCTCAGAGAACAAGAGGATCTGAACATGCAACTTGTCACTCAGCACATCAACGTTGGCTGGTGCCCTCGCCATGGATGTGTGGTAACTTTGCGTGGACGATTTTCAAGATGGCCTTCATGGCCTGTCTGAACCTGCTCGACATTGTGACGGACATATTGGTTCTGCTTCGGTACAGCTGCATCCTGGAATCAGACGCAGGAGAGCCCTGTGCCGGGTCAGTGCCAAACAGTAGCTGCCAGCCACATCCATGGTGGACGTTCATCGGCTTGATGATATTGAGTGTGTCTACCTTTCTCAGCGCAATGGTTTGGGTTAATCCTGCGGCAAAAAACTTTAGTGAGAAGATTAGATCAAAAAAAGTGACGCTGCGAGACTGGGCAATGCCTTGAGTGCATTTCATAGCTGCTGTGATACAGCTTTCGCCCTTTGTCGACCTCGTTCAAGTGGCATGGAGTGGCACCGACGCACAAGACCCAGAACAAAGACGAGCTGCAAGACATCGTGACCTGCAGATCAAAAAGTTTGAGTCGGCTCCACAAGCTTTGTTCCAGTCATATGTCTTCTTCGCGATGGCATCACACAAGCAACCTTTGAACATCCTTTCCATTGCCATCTCAATCTTGAGCTTGTCTCTGGGGTTTGTTGAGTTCTATATGGAGAAAGAGGAGCATGTTCGAGCTGACGCAAATGCAGAAGACAGTGCCGATCCCACAAGATGGAGTGTGCAAGCTGACGTGCTGGGTGCCAAAGAGGAGGGCATCATTTTACAGGCTGATGGGGCGGGTTCCCTACCAGTTGACATCACCAGGTCAGAACCAATGAGGGCCAGTGCTGTTTCCGAGTGTTCCTCTGCTTCGATCCCGAAGTTGAGGATCCAAGTCCAGATGGACAGGCCAGACTCACCAGTGAAGCTTTTGAGTGCCGGGAAGTTCGTAGCTTTTCTCTACATGGGCTCCGACCTAGCCCTGCGTTGCGTGGCCTCTGCTGTGAATTTTTCGCCCTCAGCACGGTTTCCAGGAGTAGCCATCGCAGTCAGTTATATTTGCTTGTTTATCTTGCGGCACCCGGCTAACTTGGCAATACTGAGAGCCCGTGGAGAAATTTGCCATAGAATACAGATGGGGAAGCGAAGCGAAATGGTCTCAAAAGATGAGATGGAATTACCTTTTGACACCAAACCTGTTGAAGACTCTTCGAGAAGCTGCTCTTCGATTTGCCTTGCGGTGACCCGGATCGTCGTGCTCATTGTTTTGTGGTGGCCGTGATTGTTTTCTGGGTTGTCTACGGGGTGTTTCTAGCTGCTGTGGTTGTCCTCGCCGGATGCTGGGAGTCCTTCACTGCATCTTCCGAGGTGGTGCGAAATTGTGACCGTTGGACAGCACAGTGTTTGGCTGCCCTCCGATTCCTGGAGTATTTGTGTCATGGGGCTGTGATGGCGATGGTGGCCCCTACAGCCTGTGGAGAGCAACCCAGCTCAGAGTTGCTAGTTTTTGCTCTGCTCTTTGGTTTCAATCTCTGTAGCTACGTGGCATATGCGATGATACAAGACAATGTTGCAAAAATCAAGGAATGTGAAATTCCGTTGGAAGAGAAATGCTTGAAGATTATGGAATATTGTTCATGCTGCTGTGGCAAAGGCCGGGACTCTGTTGTTTCTGTCAGGCCTGTCGCAGATGTTTATGGAGAGTGGGCTGTCATGGGGGGTGGGGTTGTTCTTTGTTTTACACTCAGGTTTTGGTGAAACGAAGTGTTCAAGCACACAACCCCAACGTTTGTAATTATACTACTGTATACTGCTCAACGTTTCACTCCTTTGCCTTCCATGACATCCCACCGTCCTTATGTTTAGCCCTAGCACAGCAAGTGCAGCGAGTTTTAACTCTGAAGGGTAGCACGCATGCACTTTGTTTTTTTCCTCGTGCGGTGTGTTTGACGCAGCATGGGTGCTAAGGCGGCCGGAAAAATGTTTTTTTCCACGAAAACACGGGAAACAAAGGCAGGAGAGGAGAGAAACCCGGCTGATGGTTCTGACGCGCCTTCTTCTATTTACATCATTCAATCATACTGTACTAGTTACAGTTGGATGGGTCCGGATCGCATTTATTACAGATCCACAGCTCTTGTTTGTGATCATTCCGTCCTCGGATCATCGCGCATTGTTCGAACGTGGTGGATCCGTTGAGCCGACCGTCCTCGGCTTCGAGGCCACTGGCCACTAAGCTCGCCCAGGCGGACCTTGGACTGCGTCAGGGTTGGAGACGGTTGGGGTCTATGCTGGTCTAAGATCGTTTAAGTGTACAATCCTTCCGCTCCTACATGTGTTAAAGAACGTTCCACAACAAAAGTGATGAACAAGTACAGTAAGCGTGCCGCAATCAGGCTCGCGAAAGTAAAACCACAGGCTGCAAAAGCGGCGGGAAAGTGTTCATGAACGCAGGTTGCCAGCATAGCTCAGCATTGATTTTTATACAGTTACAAAGTTACCACATTGCATAGCTCAGTATT